AACCCAAATGATTGTACCCCTCTCACTGCCGGTTACTTTTCGATTGGTAAACCCTTAACAGCAGCCCCTGACTGTGACATCAGCGCTATGAACAAACAACGATTCGCATTATGATATAACGTTATATGTAATCCAAACTCCCATATATCCCTTATAAACGTTATTTTATAATTATAAATCTTTTTGATCAAATTTACTTTTTTTGATAAAAGGTATTGCGATGTATAGGGACGAAAAAATCGCAACATTTTGGATTATGGACAAAAGCAGTTACCGTTTCAAAGTCCATTTCGCTGTTACAAAACAGTAAATATATAACAATCGCCCCACCATCAATTCGAAATTGGATACACACTTTGTAAGGATTCCCAGGCCTGTTAGGACGCTCTCCACAATGAAGGATTATCTTTCGAGTGCCAACGAAACATGAACCACGATTGTTTGGAAAACTGTTTCGGAAGCATTCGCAGTCTTGCTGCACCAAATGTTAACCCCAATGGAGGGGCTTTTATGGCACCTTTCAAAGCGCCCATCATCAACAATTACTCTTCATTTAGCTGGAAGTCTTCTAGCTGCAAGGGTGATAATTTAAAGACACTTAGCAGTTTGAATCGTTTTTCCTAAAGTTACAATAGGGGAATACAGAGTCAGCAAGACAAAACTGTTGCAGAGGGGCATGTTGACTTACATAGCCGGCTTTGTTGTTATAAAACTTTTACCTCAAGTTAAGGTTTCTAGACGGTGCAGACTTGCCTTATAGGAGGTGATAAGGTGATATAACTGAAGAAGCATTTTCCGCCAAAGCTCTGCTGTGTGCCTCCACATTCTTCAATTCATTCTTTCAATACTCCATTTATTTTCTTCAGCATGTATTACCTCAGCTATGTACCAATGTACGTATAACAGGAGTCTTAAAGATAGTTCTCAGGCACTTTATGCAAAGTTAGGAGCAATTACATTATCAGCAACTCGTCATGAAGGGTTTACTGTTACAGTATACATGTTTACAATGCCATTCGTTTGTGAGGATTTAGAATATCAACAACATCGCAAAAGGAAAATAGAAGATTAAAAGAACGTCACGTCCAATTAAAATTAAGATAACAACTAATGAACGACATTGGGAAATTATAGGGCCATTTTCCTTGAATATTGAAGATTATTCATTTCGCATAAGGGACAAGGACGATTACGACACGATCACATCCGTGGTAACTGTACTGCGCAAAGAATCATGACGTTAATTACAACTTTATAGCAGCTTTTTGATGGTGTCGCTATAACAAAATATTCTATTGTAATGCGCACTTAACTGCTACACTACATACTGAATTATTATCTATAATTATGCTTCCTCTTGATAATTACTGTTTTACTTAATTTTGAAGTGAAACTTAATTACACACGGTAGGGTAAGTTCGTTTCATGTGAGTTGCTATGTATCGAAATCATGCAACGGATGGGGGGACATACCGACATTTTTTGCAGGCCATCATCAATTCATTAACTTTATATGCGCAAAACTGCCATATACGAGGACTGTCCAATAGCTTTATCGTACAAAATGCATTTGCACGGTAGCTTTACGATGATACTCCGTACAAGTCGGCCCCTGCTTAGCGAGGAATTCGTAGATTAAATGGTGAAGTGTCGGCAGGAGAGGGATGTATGGGCATATCTGAGAAGTGAATCTACTGTATAGAATCATTACCCTGTGGTAGTACAACGAAAATTTCTAAGGGATACGCAGCGTAAAAATAATCTGAAGAAGAAGGCGGGGATTCGTTGAAATTAATCGATACTACTTGCTTCTTTTGTAATTCTTATTTGTCACCACTTGCCAACATTTCTTTTTTTATTCATCCATGGACGATGTAATGAAATTATGAACAGAACATGAGGAACTTTTAGAGGGAGACACTCCAATTTGCCACCAATGACTAAAATAAAATTAAAAAGAATTACAATATGGTCAAATCACTATTTATAATTCTTTTACATTGTCCATGGACGAATAATAAATTTCAATATCAACATTTGTATAAGTATTGTTAACTACCACCAAATCTATTGCTTTTATCTATTTTCAAGTTTGCAAAGAATTTCATATTAGTTATCTTCTCTGGAAATTCGATCACTTTAGTTATTTAGAATAAGAAACGTAAACTAACAGTAAAACTAAAAGAGATGGGTATGGGGAAGTGTAATATGGATAGGTAGAGGGAAAAATTCTACAACTGAATCCGACAAACTATACAGGACATTCCATAAAAAAAGAAGTTTGAGGATTCGAAATTACTCAAATTCGACATTAAATTTCATCACCCTGTATAATTCTAAAAAACTTTTAAAGTAACTGCAGTAAATGATGGACATCCCCCTATCTTCATTCCACATATTAGTACTTCAACTTATTACTTATATTATAAGAAATATGCCGTTTTGAGTTAGGCAATGATAAAACATTTTGTTTGATAAAGTTGAAATATCTCGAACATTATTAGACTTAGAAAAAAAAAACTTTTGGGTGTTTCATTCCCATCAGCCAGTAATGCTGGTGAGCGGGCAGTCCCTCCGAACTATGCCGGAAGATAGGGCGGAAAGCCCTCTTCAGCCTGGTTTCAGGAATCGTGGGAATGGGTGGGTGGTGGTTCGGGTGAGAAAGGTGAGACGGACGAAATTAAGACAGAAGAGAATGAAAGATTATCTGTGGAATATTACTGCCTCAGCATTTGCCTAGGTGATCCAGGGTAACCACAGAGAAACTTGGACCAAGGCAGACGAACCCGGAATCGAACCGGCGTCCTCCCGAATGCTAAGCAATGGTCTAAACCTCTAGGCCATGCCGCTCGGTATTAGACCTACAAAAAAAAAATGCTTTTGGGTGTTTCATTCCCACCGGCTAGTAATGCTGGTGGGCGGGCAGTCCCTCCGGACTACGCCGGAAGGTAGGGCGAAAGGCCCTCTTCAACCTGCTTTCAGGAATCGAATCGAATGGGTGGGTGGTGGTTCGGGTGAGAAAGATGAGACGGACGAAATGAAGACAAAAGCGAATGAAAGATTATCTGTGTAATATTACTGCCTCAGCATTTGCCTAGGTCAGGGATGGCGAACCTTTATGTATCGGTGTGCCATTTTTATAAAGAAAAGTTTAATCATGTTATAGACGTGCTATCAAATAACTTTGTCTCTGTGATTATTGCGAATATAATAATAATAAATAATATCAGCTCAAAATTCTTCATTTACTACAAAAAAGTAGAAACATTTTGCAGTGTCTAAATTATGCGTGTAATTAAAATTAGAGTAAAATTAGTGTGACTTCTGTTGTTGCAGATTAGATGACAAATAATTTATGTTAGGGCTGTAAGATGTTACTTTTACCAGAATGCATGCTGAACTGAAGTCATCAGTCAAACGGTTTCTGAAAATTCCTTTGTTAAAGAATCAATCACAGAAACAAATTTTTCAGTAACTTGGCCTTCATCTGGTTTCTCATGTATTTCTAAATTGTTGTTATATTTTTTCAAATTGGGAAAATACTTGTAGTTTCTTGTGATTATGTCGTTCCTGAAAACTGGCGGTGTAGCCACAAAAGCGCGAATGGCATCGTGACGATAATTGTTTTATTTATGCCTTATACGTTTGACGTGCCCAAAACATTGTGTTACGTGCCACTAATGGCACGCGTGCCATTGGTTCGCCATCCCTGGCCTAGGTGATCCAAGGAACCACAGAAAAACTTGGACCAAGGCAAACGGAGCCGGAATCGACCGGCGTCCTCCCGAATGCTAAGCAATGATCTAAACAGTCTAGGGGTCTAAACCTCTAGGCCATGTCGCTCGGTATTAGACCTAGACATGGGGGGGAAGCTTTATATACTTCGTTTACTTTCTGTAGTGATGTGCCCCTTCCAATGTCTTGGATGCGCGTTGGCAAAATCGTAGATAAAGAGAAAAAAGCTCATTATACTCTCGACTCTTGTTCATTAAGCATACTTTTTCATACAGTACCTGCCAAAAGTTTTGTTCAATTATGAATAATAGTGCGAGTCGAAGACAAGCGTTAAAGCCTTTAATATGTCTTCAAATATAAATAAACATCTCCTTGATATTTTCAGTAGTAAATGGTACCAATAACAGCACATTTGAGCAATGAAATTGTAGTGGATAAAATGGTCAATTTTTCCGTGCAGTACTGTACGGATTATACGCTCCTCGCCGGTTAAGAGAGTTGTCTCCTTCCTTTTCTGTCCTAGTGCTGTTCTTTTCTACTTTACGCCGGTCAAACTGAAGGTCACTTCGCTACAGAAAGTAAACGAAGTATAAAAGACCCTCTAAAATAACACGTAGATTAGATTACACGAGATCTCTTCCTAAATGCACTCGGAGAATGATGTACACATGATGGTATTGATAAGAATTGCGAAAAAGAGCAAAGAGTTGTGAATAATTCCGACCATACTCCGCCTTCTTCTTCAGATTCTCCTTACGCTTAGTACCTATTATCTATGCTTAGTATCTTTTAGAAACTTTCGTTATACTACTGAATCCCTTTAAGAAGATTCAATTTTTCACTTAATCCTTCATTTCCCTTTAATACAAAACAAAACAAACAATGTACCCATTTGAATTGCCCGGCGTTTCACTTTACTTCGTCGTTTCATTGCCAGATGGTCCAAAATAGATAATGATAATAAACGTGAGAGCCGAATTAACAATGTTTATTATAAACTACAAATCAAGATACAGAACAATAAATGATACAAGTACGGCCATGAACGCGGATACCAACTTACTGCCGTTCATCTTCCATTAAATTCTAACCGTCATCTCTTGATCCGAATAATCGATAAAAAGTCATAGTTCTTATGGTTCATATTCATACCGCCCGCCACTCAGCGCCGCTACCCAGTTTCCACTTTATTCATTTTTCCATAATTAGAAGTAAGCATTGACAACACTGTTAAGTGGTAAGCATGTGGTAAACACCCGAAGTTTTTTTTATCTATGACCCTGTATATGCGTAATATGCTCTGTAATGCCGTTTTTTTATGTATGGTATATAATTTATGTAGCGCACGCAGCGTAGTAACGTGGTAGCAACAACAGCTGATTGTGAAACATGTCCGACGTAGAACGTTTTGAAAATCAACCAGAAAGTATGGTGGTGAATAGCAATTTTTTGAGAGTTGAAGTTTATAAGAAAATTGGTTACAGATTGCCCAGGGACACAAAGTGAAAATGCAGGTAAAGTGTCTGCGTGTGCTAAGTGTCCTAATCAGCAACTATGTTCATCAGGAACACTAAAAGGAACAAATTCTGGCATGCATGAAATTCAAGAAAGATTAAAAGATGTAAAACATAAAATATTAGTTCTTTCTGGAAAAGGTGGTGTTGGTAAAAGTACACTAACATGTCTGCTAAGTAGGGCATTCTCTTTAAAAAATGCAGAAGAACATGTAAGTACTTGTGTAATAATTAAAACTGCTAGTTTCTCTAGTAAATGACTTTCTTACCCTATTGTATTTACTTCTTCTCTCATCAGAATGACCAAAGAACATTTAGAAATGTTTTGAAAAAAGTAATGTAGACGTTAATGTTGGCTTATAGTGATTGGTACTAGGTAGTGCTTTGTACCATAGTTTGTTCAATAATTTCAAAATAATAACTGGCGTTCGGCTTGCATTTGCATAACTGCATGGACTACTCAAATAAATTATTTAAAAAATATTTTTTTGTAAATGACAAAAGTATATTTAAGCTTCGAGCGTCACCCTTATCATTTTTTGGAGAAAGGAATAGATTTTTTTCTGGAATTCAATAAAAATTTTTGAAAACATCAGACCCCACCTAAAATTAGTTGCCAACATCTGTTCAATTCATAATCAAATCAGTCTTGGTTAGTCAAACTGCATGTATTGTCAATTTAAGTTTTATCTACATATTTCCTAGTTAAAGCTTAGGTATCTACGGAATCCCCTATACAGTTCAGAAAGCAATGTAAGCATATTAATAGGTAATTGCTGATTTTCATTAAATTAAATTTTAATTGTATTTATAAGGTTACTTTACGATTGGAATAGGTGAAATAATTTAAAAATTAGGTTTGCATAAAAATATCTGATATCAGGTCATAGGACGATAAGCATAGTGATTTAGTCCCAGAAGGATATCTGGATTATTTATTGTGGGTAGCTAGATATATTGGTATTAATGAGATACGTTAATCCTAAAAATTTTAAACCTCTGTTTTGATTTCTGAATAAACCCAAAAAGCGAAAAATCAAAAAAATTTTTTCTCATAAAAGACAACCAATTTTAATACTAGGAAAAAATAACTGCTCATAATCTTTATAATAATCATTAACGACGAGCGCTTTTTCCGAAATATTTTTTTTTTCTTTATGATAACGTTCTAGAACAATTTTGAAACTTCTTTTTATGTTATTTCCAATGTATAATAATCTCTCAAATCGTTATATTGATCAAAAAGAACAATAAAGACCGATTTTTTTTATATAAAAATTGAATTATTTCAATGTTTATACCTTGAAAAAAACAGAAATGCAGATTATTTGATTAATTTATAAGTGCAAAAAACATTAAATATTGAAAACATTTAAGGGTGAATCAAAAACTTAAAAAAATAAATTTTAGTTTATTGAAATATTCATCAATCTAGAATTATGATATGCCAATTTTGATTTTTAAGGTAGCTGTTTTGGACATTGACATATGTGGACCATCCCAGCCAAGAATTTTAGGTGTTTTAGGAGAACAGGTGCATCAGTCAGGATCAGGATGGTCTCCAGTAGTGAGTAACATTGTCAATCATGTAGATCAGGGCTGTCCAACTAGCGGCCCGCGGGCCGTATACGGTCCACCAAATTATTTTTACTGCCCTCGAGTACATTTCACTATGAATAAATTTATGTTACTAAATTAATATTATTGATATTGTTGCTAAACAATTACGGCCACAATGTTATCATTAATAAATTACGAATATTTTAGAGTTTTATCTTCAGTATAAATAAAATATTTCCTTAATTAACATAAACTGACTACATTTATAAACTTTCTTGGCCCCCGAAATGTTTGGTGAAGAAAATATGGCCCGCGAGCTATGATAAGTTGGACAGCGCTGCTCTAGACAAACATCTTTCAACAATATTTTTCGAATTTCGATATTTACCGTTCGCGGGCATACATTTTCCATCCTGAGTTGTCTGACTTCTTAGTTACCAGAAATCAGTTTCTTATAATTTTTCTTCTTCTATCTTTATAGTCGCTGTTCTACTGCTTTTTCTTCCCTTGCATACCAGTATTTTTGGTTTATTTTTATTTGTACCATACTGTTTTGTCAATACGATTACATTTCATTTGAGGATATAATAACATATACATAAATAAAACCTACAGAGATGATTGTTTGTAAATTAAACGCAATACAATATTCCTTATCTCAATTTTCAATACTTTCCTAAGAAACAACTATTTTTCTAGCAATACAAACAAAAACTATCTATAAACGTATTGACCTTATTGATCTAATATTACCTTATCAGAATGTAAAGGGGGCACCTGTATCTACCTAATTGATATTTAACTCTTTTTGATATATAAACGCTTGGAACATTACATTGAAATGAAATTTAACAAAAGTAATTTAGTTTGCGTGGAATAATTTAATTTTTTTCAAATACAAAATGGCCAGCAAACCTTTCATCACTCTTCTATCGTTTATTGCGCTAGGGTGCTGGTTAGTAACTGCATCTCCAGTAGAAGGAAAAACTCCTGAACCTGCCTACAGTCAAAGCAGGGGGTCTGTGCTGAAGAATAAGCAGAATCTGACAACTGAAGGACTAATAGAAGAAGTAAGCATTTCTTTAAGATCACTCAATTATATATGAAATATTATTCTGAAAATTAATTTGTGAATTTTTACCCACTACACACTTCCTCAAATTAATGAGGAAAAATTTGTTGCTGTTGTCACA